AAAGCCCAGTATACTGCCCTCATACTTCAACAGAAACATGACAGATCTGCAAGTTTGATGAGCCAGCTTCCTTCACAAATTCCTTTTAAGAGTTATGAAATGCTGATCTGACGTGCTATGGTGTAACTTCTGCATGTGTTTTAACTAACACACACACACACACACACACAGGATTTTAATGTGATTATCCTACCTTTCAACTGGGAGAAGAGATATACTATTAGCTCTACAAATGATATCCATTAAAGGTTCTTAGTTTTTAGGGTTTTTATTTTTGCACACAGACACATATGTAACAGCAAACTGTTCCTATCTAGGACAAAGCAGATGGGCACAGCCCACAATGATACATCATGAATGTGTAAATGAAAGCTACCTGCATTTATGCCTTATGATTTTTTATAGTAAGACTACACTTATCTGATGGTTATGGCTATTTCCAAATATAAAATGTCCAAGCAAATCATGCTTACTGTAAATATTGTCTATAGCCTCTGTATATTACTAAAGAGAGGAATTCTTTCAAGAAGTATCTACTAACATTTGATAACAATGATCACCAAGATCATGTTTATCAAATATTCTAAAGGAGTTGAAATAGAAGGAAACCCAGTGATAATCTTAACAGCCATCAAAATTCATAGTTATTCTGATTTAAGAACAAAGGACTCCACTGAAGAGATAAACAGATGGCTTCAACAGTCTTTTCCTCTCTCCAAATTAAATCATCCTCTTTCTTTGCTCTGATCTCTAGCAGCTCTCCGAGCACTTTTCTCCAGCAGGTCTGTACTCTTCTGAGCATCTGAGAGGAGTGGAATACACAGCTTGAACAGGCCACAGCTTGCCCACATATGGCACAAGCCAGCAAAGCCATGGGGAAAGCACAAGAAGGAAGCCACTAATGAGGGCTCCACAAACAGCCTGGGGCTAAGGGAATCTTCACACAGCAGGGAGACACAGGGGAGTGGGAAGGAGTCTGACACAGTCAGTTACAAGAAGCCCAAAGCACACAAGGTTCTAGAGAACCCACAGTTCACAGAAGCATTACATAATAAAAGGGTTATAAAGCACATAGGTAGGAAAATGAAATGTAAGTCTTTAATAAGATGAAATTCCAGTCACAAAGGAGAAAAGAACAATTAAACATGCAATTTACATTTGTCTATTGAAGGTACACCACTAATTACTGGTAAAATGACAGACAAATCTCTTACCTTCAGTATTTCCATTTCTACACCACTAAAATAAAGGTCAGATACCTGCTCTACAGCACTCTCCATTTCTAAGAACCTTAAATGTGAAAATCTTAGGATTCTTTGAAAAAGAAAATGAAAAGAGTGCCATGAAACTTTAAAACGCCAGAACTCATGTAACTGTATGACTTCAGGGGAACTTTCCTTTCCTTCAATTGTCTAAATGCAGACGAATAGGTAAGCCTTTACTAATACTAATGCCCCCACCCCAGTCCTGTTTCTTTTCTAGTTTGATTCTTTTCTGAAACACTTCACTATCAGCTAACCAAATCATTCTTCCTTCTACACATTAGAAGCTGTGAGGGCTGGGATTGCCTCACCAGTGCAAGGTCCCTTTTGATCCCCAGTACCAAAAAAAAAAAAAAAGATGCTGTGAAACACTAACTTTTAAGAGGATTAAAGTTTGAGATTACATTTATTTTTTTATACACACAAAAATTTCTTTAAAGAACAAGTATTTCAATTAAAAATACTGTCCTCAGTGTAAAGTTCAACTTTTTAAAAGGGAATTTCCATTTAGAATTGGGCAGTGGAATTGAGAAGCCATTTTTCTAATGTCTTCTAACTAGAAACACCCATTTCTAATTATTGCTACCACCAAATGGAAACATGGATCAGTATCTCAGGAGTCTGGGGTTCTAATGTCTACTTCCCATTCCACCATGTTGATATAAATTTCATGGGGAAATAATTTTCCTTTTCGCTACTCTGGGCTTTGTCAATTGCCTCATGTTAGGCACCAAATCTAGGCAGAATTCTCTTGTGCAGTCCAAACATCTACCAGTAGTTTTTTGGCCCATGGAAGTGTTTTATTCTATAAGTCACTACAGAGATTCAGGTACAGAGATGCCTATCTGTGTAATCCCAGCTCTCTGGGAGGCTGAGGCAGAAAGATTACAAATCCAAGCCCAAACTGGGCAATTTAGCAATTTAGGAAATCCCTGTCTAAATAAATAAATGAAGCAACAAAAGGGAAAAATCAACCAGTCAACCGATAGACAAATAGTCTGAGGATAAGCAGGAAGGCTCTGGGTTCAATCCCCAGTAACCCGCCTCACCCAAGAAAAATCACTATAGAAGAAGGTAATGTAATTCCCACGTAAGAAAAATGTGGGTATGTAATATAGCAGTAAGGACTGCCCTGTTCTTTGATGGCCTACATTTTTTCTATAGGACTAGTGGTAACTAAAATTCCTCAGGTGCTATCCTCTCTTCACAGTATCAAAAATTTGGCCCCTCTCCATCAATAATGTGGTGAAGTTCCCTCTTCCTGATTTTTCTTACAGACTGCACAAACACATCCCAGGAGAAACCCGGATGGAGAAAAAGTAGATGAATATTTACTACATTTAGGTGCCAAACATCCTAAGTGCTAAGTAATAGTACATGTTCCAACTACAAAATACTAATCTTTTACTGATTTCTTTGACCCCTTTGAAAACAAAATAAATGATACATTAAAACTCAAACTTAATTATCTTACTTTCCTTTTATCCTCTCTAACCATCTACTAAAATCGTAATACTGAGTGAGAATAGTGTAATTTCACTTTCACACAACACAGCATAACCTAAAGCAAACAAATAAACCGGAAAATAGTATATCACACAAAAGAAAATACTTTGTTGCAAATAACACTGAGAAAATTTTAAATAAATTTTTGTTTCCTGGCAGAATGCATTTTCATCTCTGACTTGACACAGCTTCTTGGGGATTTAAAACAATTATAATAATCATAGGAAAATGGATACATATTGAGGATATACTCCTGAGTGAAATAAAGTCACACGTGTAAATACCGAATAGTTTCTCTGGTGTGAAAAACTATAATAGTACACAAGATCCTAATGAGATAATTGACAATGTGAAATAGGAAGAAAAAGGCTAAAGGTATAGGGAAAGTGGGAAGGGTAGGGGAAAGGTAATAAGGGAAAGAAAAAAAATAGGAGAAAATGAAAAAATGGAAATAAAATGTTTGTAAATGGGGAGAGGAGGGGGTGAAGGGAGGTCAGGGACAAGGGGAAAAAATGAGAACCAAGACCTGTCATGTAAAGGTACAAGATCCCAATAATGAATGTAATTGTACTGTATACCTAAAATGCACCAATAAACTCAATGAGGAAAACAAACGAACAATTATAATGAAGAGCTAGGAAACAGCTGTGAAGTCAGACGCGCTACCCCTGGGGCACTGCAGGAGCACAAAGCTAGCTTCGTGCTGGGCACACCCCGCACCGCACCGCAGCACACGGTCATACTTGTTCAAACTCCCACGCAGACGCTGCCTACTGCACACTTGACCCTACCTGGCAAACCCAGCTGTTTCCTTCCATCAGGCCCCAAAGCCGAGAAGGAACTTGAAACAGCCTCTACCCGCAGGACCAGGAATGGGCCCTAATATCCCCATCCTGCAAAGTCCTGGTATAAGGTTCCGCTACAAAACCTGCTTTTGTCAAAGTGATTTGGTTTTGCTGTTGTTTTGTTTGGGGGAAATTCTCATCTACTGGCCGACTGCAGGGTCATTTTTTAAACTGAATGCTAAAATGTACTGCGCAGGCCACTGTTTTTATTTAAGCAAATCTGGCCGCAACTGATACTGACATCATACACCAGTCAACGAAAATAACTTCCAAATTCACTGTGCTGCTTATTTAGGTCTTCTCCCAGTGCAGCTACGACAGCCTCAGAATGTGCCCCAGGAACCGACAGTCTTGCACTTTCTGCTAAACCCACAGCGGGGGTCACTAGGTGACAGAGACACCAAATTCAATCCCTCTCTTCCATTTTTGCCGAATCAGATCATGGCTATGTATTTCATAAAAACGCTTATGTCTGCATAGTGACTTTAGAGGAAAAAAGTAACACATGAACTCAATACTCAGATAACCCTGTATTTTATTTCATGCACATTACATTTTTGTGATCCCATTTACTTATGCAGTCTGAATATTCTGTAACATTTCACCTCAGTATTTAATTTTGTAGACTATGATTTCTAGAAAAATTTAAAAAAAAACTGAAAAGGATTTCTTAAAAAGGTCGATTCTACAGATACATACTTAAAATGCTGAGAATATTTCTACGCCAAGAAAGTCCATTCCCAAATTTTAAACCACAGCGAGCTAAAACTGTTAACAAGAACTTTATTCCACGAAGAAGCCCGGAAACCCAAGGCGTCCCCGACCTCCAGTTTCGCGGGGAGCCCCGCAGGCGAGCGCGGCGCGGGAGGGCGGGAGGCGCCCAGGTTCCGGCCCGGGGCTCGAGCGAGCAGAG